AGTCATGGGGTGGGAAGTGGGTTTGCTCCATATGTGGTTTTCTAGCTATCGACTCTTTTCTGTCATTCATGTTTTTATCCTGTGCTCTCCAGCTTTTCCTCATTTTTTGCTTTAGATGCTCATTATAGTACTGACAGCCTATACAGAAAAATGTGTTTTATTTGCATAGAAGTTAAGTGCCTTAAAACACTTTTTCCTTTAAAAATTCAATCTGATTCTAAATAAATTGGTTGGAAACATCACCAAAGATTCAGGAGAAATGTTGCCACATTTCCGTAAGATCAAAAATACAAAAATAGTTTTTCATTTACAGATAGAAATAACAAGGAGAGTAGGATGTTTTATGTTCCCTGGAGAGTGAAAGCAGCTTATTAAGTTTAGAGAGAAACTGTGATAATTTTGCTGTTTCTTTTGTCCAGATTCTGAGTGTTCCTAAAGCGAATCTTCTCTGCCAATCTTGCTTGATCTGAGAAACTCCCTTCTGCCTCACTTGTGGGTCTAGTTTCATTTTTAGTGTATTGTTTCCCACCAAGAGAAGTGATGAGCCTACAAATTTGATTTGTATTTAGAAAGGTATATCAAGCTGTACAGTGCGAAACAGTGCTTGTCTTTCTTTACTCCCCATCCAGCATACACACTTCACCAGCGCAATAGGAACAGAATCTTATTACAGTTTAAACAAATATTCACAAAAGAAAAGAATCCAATCTGAAAACTGCTGGGGACTTCAGACCAGCATATTGAATTTGATGAAATATTAGATTTTATCACATGTATATGCATGTACGGAACATTTTTGTGAAACATGTACATGGTTTTTGTATGACATTATTCAGAATCTGTGTTTTCGGTTGGTTTTAATTTTCTCAAAAGTCTTTTCAGCTAAGTTAAGCATGGCTTAGAGGTCATTTTATTTTGATTGATAGATTTATATAGGTGATCAGTAAATTAATTTCACTATTTTTTAAAGCTATCAGAACATGAAAAACTTCAAGGAATGCTTTTAAATTAACTTAGATTTATAAGGTAACTTTTCCTGATGTAGTAGTGTTTAGTGGAAATTTCTTATATATTATGTTGTAATTCTTGGTGGAATCATTTCTCCTCATGAACTATGGAGAAAGACAATATTTGGATATATAGAGAGGAGAAGGGAAAAGTTTTATGTCTATGTTATTAAGCTTATTTCTCACTTGAACTAAAACTATCTTAATGTTTTTTCTGAGTTTATAGCCAATAGGAAGGTCTTAAAACAAATTCTGGAGTTTGAAAAGTAGTGGTGAGTAATACATATTCTACTTGTCCTTTGCACTTGCCATTGTTTGCATGTCGATGGAACTCTGAGATTGTTATGTCACCTAAAACAATTATAATTTTGACTTCTGTGGACAGGGTAGGAGTTCTTCATCCTACTTTCCTGTAGCTATAATCTGTCTCGATGTGTTGCCTCATCATATCCACAGAATTGTATAAAAGTTTGAAGTGAAGGGATGATCACTGAGGTAGTGATTTTTCATGCAAGCTGGAATAAGTAAATTATGAAAGTTGTAGAAATTTAAAAGTTTCCTTTCTTAATTGGTAGTCATGCTTTGCATTGATTAGTGGTGTACAGAGTTTTGAGTTTACAACAGGGTTTTCCATGGAAGAGAACAGACTTCTTTGTTCTAAGACTGTATTTGAACTAAGATGCATACGCAGTTTGGTTTCAAATGAGACGTAAATGACAAACATTTCTTACTTTTTACTGACGGAAATCTTTTATGTTTGTTAAAAATGTCAAACCTTTCCCACCCTTTCATTTTTTAATGAAGAATTTATATATGACAGTCTCTCTTCGTTTTGTTGTGTACCTTGGCATACTTCATTCAAATCCTCCCTGTTTTTAACAGTTCAGAGGTTATGGCTTAAAAAAATTTGTAGAGTAGGCATGGTGTTTGTAAAGTTCTGCTTTACATTTGGTCTGTTAGTGATAATGAAGTTATCATTATTTGTCATATTCAAGAAGTTGGAATACATATTACAGTAGAAATACTAAGTGGAAGAAAGGTCACAGAGTAATTCATTTGTCTTGGTTGAAGTGAAAATGAAGGTGTCTTTATGTGATAACTTAGAGCATATGGTAATTAACTATTTTAAGCGTTTGTGAAGATCATTGAGAACTTTTAAAATATTGGATAATTGCCATAATGTAATGTAAAACATTCTATATCTGATGTTTTGCTGTCTCTTTAAGATCAGGAAATATATTCATATAAGTTAAAATTCAAAAATAAAAGAACACTTTCAATTTGGATAAGCCTACAAATAGTTTTTACTCAACTAATTGACTCTCATGCCCTTCCAAAGCAATTCAAACAGGCTTTTTCTTGAGAAGTAGGTAAAACGTCCATAGACTATGAAAGGTAAACAGTAAAGCGTTTTATAAAATACCATTTAGCTATAGGCTAGGCTAAAAAAAAGAATTGAGAAAGGATGAGCTTACAGTTATACTGACTTTCTTTTAGAAGTAGTTCAGGTGTGACATGTCACCATGTCATTTCTCTGCTTCAGTAACTCTCCACTGTCCACTGGATTAAGCCCAAGTTCTTTAACTGGCTTACAAGGCCCCTCCTTACCATCAGTAATGTCTTGTTCTCATAAATTCTCGTCTTTTACTTTATGTTTCGGCACACCCAAACTGCTTATTTTAACGGTACACTGTATTTTTCTTCCTTGAGGGCCTTTGTTCTTGCTGGTCTCCACACTTAGAATATGTTCCTCTTTTCATTGCCTGGTTACGGTACCTTTTGTAGGAGGCCTTCCCATGTACTGCACCACGACACCAAGCTGTGTCAGATGCCACTCTCAACTTGGAACTGCCACAAAATACTGTATTTATCTATCTATCTATCTATCTATCTGTCTGTCTGTCAATGCACTCTCCTATTGTTTTAGAATTGTCTCTTGGTATATCTGACTCTTCTAGAATATAAGTTTCTCAAGAGCAAGTACTGTCTTTTTATTGCTAGTACCTAACACAATATAGAATGGGTGCTCAGAAAATATTAAATATTGGTATTTTGAGCTTGAAGTCAAGGGGAAGAGCAAAGTAGATCTTTCAGATCTCTTCTAGCTGATTCCACTGCCACTATCCTAAAGCAGATCTTCATCGTTTTGCACTGGACATATTGCAAAGCCTTCCAACTGTTTTCTTACCTCTCTAATTTTCTCACCTTCAGCTCCATCCTTATCTATGTTCACACTACAGGTATGGTTCCCTTTCTAAGACCTGATTGTGGCACCCTCCAGCTTCCCGATAGTCTTCAGCTCCTTTTAATAGTTCTGTATTTATCTTATGAGAAGATGAAGGTCTTTAACGTAGGTTATAATTCTATGTATAATCTCAGCTTAGATTTCCAGCCTCAACCTTTGCGTTTTTCTTTGTCACAGTCTATGCTTCAGCTTTACTGAAGCCTGTGCACATATTGTTCTCCTTGACTTGAATACTCTTTGCTTCTCTCTTCTCCCACCCCTATTCACCTATATAATTTCTGTTCATCTTCAGGCTTCAGCTTCAGAACATTCTCTGACTACTCTCTCCTCCACAAGTCTCGGTTAAATACCTCTTTTCTGTGCTCATACAACACTCCATACTTATCCATATCCTAATTTCTATCAAACTCTACTGAACTTTAAACATGTCTATATCACAATATTGGAGCCCTGGTGACGCAGTGGTTAAGAGCTTGCTGCTAACCAAAAGGTTGGCAATGCGAATCCACCAGCCGCTCCTTGGAAAACCTGTGGGGGCAGTTCTGCTCTGTCCTATAGGGTCACTATGAGTCAGAATCGACTCGATGGCAGTGGGTTTGATTTTTTTGGTTTATGTGACACATTATACAGTAAGCTGCGCTAATAATAGCAGCAGCAGCAACAGCAGCTGTTGTAACTATTGAACACTTGTCCTTGATATATATGCCAGGTACTGTGTGAAGTAGTTTCCATGCATTATTTCATTTTATCCTCTCAAAAACTCATGAGGTAAATATCACCTTATTTTACAAATGAGGAAAATAATTCAAAGAGGTTAAATACCTTCCCAAGACAAAGAGCAGTAAATAGTTAAACTGCAGTTCTAACCCAGGTCTTTCTGAAAAGGCCTATTCTCCTAACCACTACCATATGGTGCCTCACTGGAACTGTTCTTATGGTTCACCACTGTATCCCCAGCATTCGATTGGCATCTACACTGTGCCGTATTTATGTACATTTATATACATATAATATCAGTTGAATGAATGAATGTTTGGTAAAACCAATACAAAGAAATAAGAAAGATTTGAAGGTGGAGTTTGGCATGTAAATTAATCCATCATCATAGCAGTATTTAATGAGGAAGTAATCCTACTTGGTTGATGATTTTTTTAAACTCTGAAAAGAGGTAGAAGAAGCAATGGAGACATGGGCCAGAAGAATGAATCTAAGAACAAGAAGGGTGACAATATATACAAAAAGATGCATATGATAAAACGTGTTAGTTTGTTGACAAAATTGTCACCAGTATGACTGGTTTTTATTGCTCAAAGGACATCATCTCCCCACTTTTAACATCTTGTACGTATGCTATTTATTACTAAAATAGCCAAAGACAAGATTAAGGATCTAGCAATGAAAAGTATTGAATCTGTATCTTCTGGATCTCTCTTCCTGGAACTCTGGCTAAATAGTTTTCCTTTGGTGTTTCTTCCGCATTTAGCACAGATTGTTCAGACGAGATAGATAGCATTTGTAGCCATTTTTTAGATGACTTTGTAGAATTAATTTTAAAAATGTTCGTTAACTAATCTGGGGAACAAGCTGCCATGAATAAATAATTGTATTTTTATAGAAAAATCAATTTACTTTTAGCTTGAATTCAATTAATAAGCATTTTACATGGAAATTGTTTTGTGGAATTGATTCACACTATCTTCTTTCTAACAAAGCAAATAAACTCTAAACATGGGGCTGTGTTCATCCAGGAACATTTCACAGTACTGAAACTGAAGCTAGTCCTCAGAGTTTGACTCAGATATATGCGTTGCCTGAAATTCCTCGAGATCAAAATGCCGCAGAATCATGGGAAACCTTAGAAGCGGTATGTTAAAAATGATTTTCTTTTTGGTAGCTGTGAGGCATAAAAGTAAGTAATTTCCTCTCTCTCTCTTTTTAAGGACTTGATTGAACTTAGCCAACTGGTCACTGAATTCTCACTACTAGTGAATGTAAGTATATAACTGTTTTTGGCTCAGAGTTGTTAGAATATTAGAAAGAGAGGCTTTTATCAATCACTAGGCTTTTATTAGAATTTTAAGTAAAAGCTATGATTTTTAAGACTGGTATTGAGCCATGGATAGAAGTCTAACTATCCTCAAATTGCAGATCAATAAACATTTGTTGAGCATTTGTTATGTGTTTTGAGGCACTGTGTTAGATGCTTGACTTTGGGGGTCTGACAAGGGTGGACGTAGAAATACATGAAGGCTGCTCTCTGCCTTCAACAATTGTTGGGTAGAGATAGGCTTGGACCCCAGAAACTGAAATTTTAAGCATGATGGTTAAATGCAAAAAATAAGTTATGAAGAGAAGTATTATCAGCTCCAAGGAAGCACTTAATTCCAAGAGAAGAAGGCAGGAGTTGTGAGGTAGAAGCATTAAGGATAGCTTCACATAGTTAGGTAGCATTTGCATGAGCCTTGAAAATGAGTAAAATGTCCACAGGTGGTGATGAGGGGTGCATTTTAGAGCAGATGAACAAAGACATGGAGTAGAGAAGTATACAGCCTATTCAGGAATGCCCAGTACTCCAGTGTAAGCAAAGCCCGATGTACCATGGGCAAACAAGGAGAGTCCAGGCCAGACTGTGTTGTCATTGAAAGCCTTAGTAAAGAATTTGAACTTTACTTTGTAGGCATTAGGGAACCAGTGTAGATTTTTGAGCAGGTTAGAGTGCTGTAAACAGTCTTTGCTTCAGAAAGATCACTGTTGGCAGCGTGGATAATGGCCTAGGGGAGGGGAGGGATTATAGGCAGGAGGACTGGTTAGGAATCAATTGCAAGAGTTTAACCTGGAGCAGTGGCAGTACAAGTAGAAAGATGAAGAACAGCTGAGAGGCATTTTGGGGGTAACTTAGTTGAAATTGGTCACCCCAGTCAAAGATAAGGCTTTATTCTGCAGAGTCCGGTAGCCAGTGATACTATTAACATAGGTTAGGAAGCATAAAGTAGATTTTGGTGGGAAAGATAAAATATGTTTTCTATCATTATTTTTCTGAACTTTTTTTAATTTTCCTTTCCTTGGAATTATGGGAAGGTAGGATGTATGAGTATGTATGTGTGTGTATAATGTGTATACATACCTGCAAGCCTATTTCTGCTTATACTTTTGTCTAGGTTTATGTCTTTGTTCTTGATCAAACCATGATTTGGGGGTTGTCTATCTTTGAGTTATGGTTTCCTTGAGAGCTGACTTTAAATTCTAAGAAGGTTCTAGAATCACACAGTCTCAGAATTGGATTTGGAAAGGCCTTGATAGGTCAACTAATGTAATCCTTCTACTCTTGCCCCAGCTTCCCAAATAGGTGGTTTTCTAGCCTCTTTTTGAACAGTTATTGTGCAGGGATATTTCAACCATCTCACTTGGGAGCTCTGATTCTTAGAAGTTCTTACTTTATGTGAAGTAAACACTGTCCTCTAATAACTTTCCTCTGGAACTTTCGCTATCTGGAGCCACATATTCGAGCAAGTTTTGTCTTTCTTCCATATAATAGTTTTTCAAGGTTTTGAGACCAATATCGTCTTTCTTCACCCTGTCCTCACTGCCATGTTTTCGTCTCTAAGAACCCTTGATTCTCTATGTGATGCTTCTGAGAGGTGATTTCTAGGGTTTTCAGTACTGGGCATTAACTCTGTATAGCTCTGGTTTGTCGATATTTTCTTAAAATGTAATCATAAATTTAAATGCACTAAATTGTTTGAAACATTTTCCTTTTCTGATGTCTGTAAATCAGAAGAAATAAAATGAAGTCTCTGGATTAGATTTCTGTACAGTCTGTTAATATGCAGTGAAACCCATGGGAACCAGAACTTGACAGGCCTGCCTTGTTTTTCTGGGTCTCACAAGTTTTCCACCTTTGACAGGGTGCAGTCTTACCACTTGTCTATTGCCCCTGTTAGTGGAAAATATTTTAGTTTTCCTTCTTTAACAGGTTTTCACCTTATACAGGTTCCAGCTTTCATAGGTTTAACTGTATTTGCATAAAGAAGGCAGTAAATACTAATCCAAAATATCTGTTTTTTTAAACTAAGATTTATTCTATTATTTTAATTAATAGTATTTGAATATAATGTAATTTGTAAAATCTATCCATGTGTGGTTACATAAACATTTATCAAAAGTCATCGATCTGTACACTTAAAATGTGTGTTTCAATGTATATAAATTGTACCTCAATAAAGTCGATTTAAAAAACAAACTAAACACGTATACAGTTCTTCCCATCTAACACAAATATATTTCCCTTCCGATGAGGGTAGTTATATGAAAGGAAAATTAAGGGCTTGAGGTCATTTAACAGTTGTACGTCCAGTTGGGTTAGCTAGGCAGCTCTTAACCCCTTATCTAAGGAAGACTTGTGTAGGAACATTCTGACTATAGCCATAGCGCTATACAAATATCCTATTTATAATAATCTGTGTAAGGACATGAGACAGAGTGCTATTAGGCAAAAGCTCAAAGGAGAACCCTTGATTATTATTCCCAGAGTGACTGAGTTCTCATGACTGCATGGCCAAAGACTCACAGAAGCTCCATTTAGGCACAGAATGAATGACTTGGGAACATAACCAGAGTGACCACATCCTCTCCTTATCATCACATGGACACAGTAGTATCTGGCAAGTTAACCGTGTATTTAATGGGTCACTTCTGATGTGCATAGCACTGTGCTAAGCTCAGTGAAGAATAGAGAACTTTTAGAAAATACCTATAAAGCTATTGAGCAGTCAAGATGTGATGCAATAAATGCTAATAAATTAATATATACTGTGTACACTGCTCCATTTTTCTTTAATCTTTATTGCTCAGGTGCCCTCTTCCTTTCCTGTAACCTTGGGAACCAGCCCTATTTCTCATCAAGGGGAATTTAAAGGACCCTGGGCCACTAGATCAACAACATGTCGCTTTTGCAGTTGGTCCTATTTTGTTTTCTACCTCTTACCTTATTCCCTTTTGTAATCAAGTTTTGCTCTGGATGCATATAAACTGGGTTGTAATGGAATCAGATTAGATGCCTCCATTTGACCTATGTGACCTTCAGGATGTTATTTGACAACATTGAGCCTCTTAAAATTGATGGGAGAACTAAATGAGATAATGTCTATCACTTCACAGCCCCTTCCCTTCTACTGGCCTCGACTGTATTCCTGCTTTTGTTCTCCCTTATTTGATTCCCTCTTTGATCTTTGTTTAGAATTCTGATTATGCTACCACCATTACCTTTAAGCGTTTTAAGACTGGAGTTCCTTCAGACCCTTTCCTAATGCTGAATACCCTGATGCCAACATCCTACTTACCAACTCTGCTTATTGCCTACCCTAGGCCAGTATAATCATGTACTCTGCCTGTACACCGTATGTTTGCATGTTTGCTTCTGGGCTTTTCTGTGTATAGGATTGCATATGATTAAGCTGTATAGATTACATACCATGTGCATTCAGAACCAATGTGAACTGGATTGATCAAGATCTAAGACTACAGCTTGGCCTTGAAGACTGGCTGGAATTTAGATGTCAGCAATAAGGGAAAATACCTGGAGCTTTGGCATTAACTTCTTAAAGAACTTCATAACATCCCAAACATATTTAATAATACTACACAACTACTGGAAACCACCCACCCACACACACAAGGAAGCGTGTTATTATACTGATGTAAATGGATTTGGGGATGGATTTCTTGAATGTATTCCTGTTGCTTGGTGTAGAGGATGCTGGGCCTACAAGTATCCACAACAAGCATTCAAGGGAAAAACAGTTCTCCATTAGTTTTGAATTAAACTGCCCATATGCATTCTGCTTGGCAGGTATTAACTTCATGAACTACATTTTCTTCAGAATCTTTAGTTGCTCCTGTAACTTCTCATTAAGATTTTTTTTTTCCAAGCCAATAAGGCAACCTAATTCAGTGTTTCTTAAAATGAAATCTATAGACAAACTCTGCAGAGTCTTTTGAGAATTTTTCCCTATAAAAATGGTTCTCTACATTTTTCAGAACCCTGGTGGTGCAGTGGTTAAGAGTTCAGCTGCTAACCAAAAGGTCGGCAGTTCGAATCTACCAGCCGCTCGTTGGAAACCCTATGGGGCAGTTCTGTCCTATAGGGTTGCTATGAGTCAGAATGGACTCGAAGGCAATGGGTTTGGTTTTTTGGTATACATGATTCAGGAGCCCTGGTGTCGCAATGGTTAAGCACTCAGCTGCTAACAGGAAGGTTGACAGTTTGAACCCATCAGCTGCTCCTGGGGACAAAGATGTGGCAGTCTGCTTCTGTAAAGATTACAGCCTTGGAAGCCCTATGGGGCAGTTCCACTCTGTCCTATAGGGTCGCTATGAGTCGGAATCAACTCGATGGCAGTAGGTTTGATTTGGGTTTGGTTTTGGCCTAGGGTGGGGCCTAAAAATTTGCATTTCTAATAAGTTCTCAGGTGATTGTGATGTTGCCCTTCTGTGATTCTCACCAGGGCTTCAAACCAGTTCAAAGCCCTGATTCTCACACTTTAAGAACCACTATGTGTCAGAATCGACTCAATGGCAACAGGTTTGTTTTTTTGGTTTTTAGACAGGATTAAGAGCACCACCTTTGAACAAAGATATCCTGTGTTCACATCCTAGCACTGCCACTGCTTGTAGTCTTGGACAAATTGAGCTCTCTAGGTATCAGTTTTCTCATCTGTCAAATGAGGATAGTAATCGTCATAGAGTTGAAGTGAGGATAAAATGATATAATATCTGTAAAGTATAAGGAGAAAAACTCATCCTAAACTTCTCAAGAAACCAGCAACTCCTATCTTTTTTTTTTTATTGTGCTTTCAGTGAAAGTTCACAGTTCAAGTTAGTTTCTCATCCAAAAATTTATACGCACATTGTTATGTGACCCTAGTTGCTCTCTCTCTAATGTGACAGCACACTCCTCCTTTCTACCCTGGATTTCCTGTGTCCATTCAACCAGCTCCTGTCCCTTTTTGCCTTCTCATCTTGCCTCTGGACAGGAGCTGCCCATTTAGTTTCACGTATCTACTTAAGCTAAGAAGCACTGTCTTCACGAGTGTCATTTTATGTCTTATAGTCCAGTCTATTCTTTGTCTGAAGAGTTGGCTTTGGGAATGGTTTTAGTTCTGGGCTAACAGAGAGTCCAGGGACCATGTCTTCCAGGGTCCTTCCAGTCTCAGTCAGACCATTAAGTCTGGTCTTTTTACTAGAATTTGAGTTCTGCACCTCACCTTTCTCCTGCTCCATCAGGGACTCTCTGTTGTGTTCCCTGTCAGGGCTGTCATTGGTGGTAGCCGGGCACTATCTAGTTCTTCTGGTGTCAGGCTGATGAAGTCTCTGGTTTACGTGGCCGTTTCTGTCTCTTGGGCTAATACTTTCCTTGTGTCTTTGGTGTTCTTCATTCTCCTTTGCTCCAGGTAGGTTGGGACAAATTGCTGCATCTTAGATGGCCACTCGATAACTTTTAAAAAGACACCAGATGCCACTCACCAAAATGGGATGCAGAACATTTTCTTAATAAACTTTGTTATGCCATTTGACCTAGATGTCCCCTGAAACCATGGTCCCCAGACCCCTGCCCCTGCTGTTCTGTCCCTTGAAGTGTTTGGTTGTATTCAGGAAACTTCTTAGCTTTTGGTTTAGTCCTGTTGTGCTGACTTCCCCTATATGGTGTGTTGTCCTTCCCTTTACCTAAGATAATTCTTATCTACTATCTAGTTAGTGAATACCCCTCTCCCTCCCTCCCCACCTTTGTAACCATCAAAGAATGTTTTCTTCTGTGTTTAAACCTTTTCTTGAGTTCTTATAATAGTGGTCTCATACAATATTTGTCCTTTTGCACTATCTTTCTTTCTTATAAAAATTTTTTTATTAAATTTTTTCCTATGTTGCTTGAAATGCTAGGGCACTAAAACATTAGATCTCTCCTAGCATTCCTTCATTCAATTTTTATTTTCCTCAAACAGTAAAACTTGTTTAATGTCAGCTTTCTTTTTCTGATCCATAGAAGCATAGGATCAGCAATAATAAATCCAACTTGTCTGGATTTCTGACACCCTGTCATTGTTTCTATTTGGGACACCCATCAATACTTTCCATACTTGCCTGAAACAGTTTATGCTGATACAGATAAACCACAGGTGTAAAACTCTATCATCAACCTCCATATCTTGATGAGTTGAGGGGTAGAAGGAGAACAACCAACATGTCCTTCTTACCTCAACCCAAAAGTAACTCCAACAAGAGAAAGGAGTCTGCCAGGATTGTTGCCATTTCTATACCAAGTGTGATCTCAAGGCTTCAGGGAAATAATTTTTAATGCTCCTTCCTAAAAAGGTGGGCTATTTTGTTCTCAAATGAAATGGTAGTTGGAATTAGTGGAGCTGCTGGTAGGTTCGAACCACAAACCTTTCAGTTAGCAGCCAAGGGCTTTAACCACTGTGCCGCCAGTGCTTCTCCTCATGTTCACTTCAGTATAAGTCAGTTATATAAGAGCAATCAAACCTTCGTGATTAAAGTTGAATTATTTCACAATCATAGAAGGTAGCATTTAGCTGAGATCAAAGAGGAATTCTCTTCTTTTTCTGTGAATTAAAAAAAAAAAAAATTAAGTGCGATGGTGGTTACCAAACCAAAAACCAAAGGCATTGCTGTTGAGTCCATTCTGACTCACAGGAACCCTAGAGGACATTGCAGAACTGCCCCATAGGATTTTATAGAAGTAAATCTTTACAGAAGCCGACTGCCACATCTTTCTCCCAAGGAGCGGCTGGTGGGTTCAAACTGCTGACCTTTCAGTTAGCATCTGAGTGCTTTAACAACTGCACCACCAGGGCTCCTGTGATGGTGGATACATGGGTTTATACATTTGTCAGAGCTTACTGTACTATACCCTTAAAATGGGTGCGTATTATTGTATATAAATTCTACATACATATTTACATAAAATTGTGCTCCTATGGAAAGTAATGAGTGCCTGTCACTGGAGGTAGTGGAGCAGAGGTTCTGTGACCACTTGTCAGAAATGTTGAGACAAAGATCACACTCAGTGACCTAGGCGTTCTTTCTGTCCAGAGATTCTATGAGTCACAGTAGCTGTTGTGTCAGTACAGGTGCTGCCATTTTATGTAGCTGCTTTACTCATATATTTGATGTGAAACATTTTAACTTACTATTATTTTAAAATGTATTAAAATGTACAGATATAAAACAGGACAGTGAATTCATTCACTGCTCCCTACTGCATATCACAATTGGAAAGATCTCATGGCGGACCAACCGTATTGTATTCTTAGTCCTAAAGCATAACAGTTGTATTTATTGGATCAAGGGTATTTTACTCCTAAGGTAAATTTGCCTGTTTTCAACTGAATCTTCAAAGATCAATTATGTTTTGTTTTTTTCCATCAAACCCAACATGTTGTGTAAATGCTTATTTGGATTTTTTTTTCCTCCTGAAAAGTACATTTATTTGGAGAATAATATGTTTCTATATGTGAATGAATTTTAGTATGAGCTTTTTGCTAGAGAGGTGCCAGCCTTTTATTACCTAATAATTAAGTCCCCCTCTTTTTTTTTCATAAAAGTGAATTTGTATTTTCGACATGGTTTATCGGATGCTATTAATGAACCACTATTAAGACTGCAAGACTGCAGTACCCGGGCCCTGATTACAGGAATTAAAATAGTGTGTATTTGGCTTACTGCTGCTGCCCAGCAGGAACACTCACTCATAATTCCTTTGCATCTAGTCTCAGCAGGAGAAGATTGACAGCATTGAAGACCATGTCAACAGTGCTGCTGTGAATGTTGAAGAGGGAACCAAAAACTTGGGGAAGGTAAGATTCTGCTCCTGCTGACAAATCAATGGTACTCGGGCTCCCAGGAGTCTGTAGTATTAACCCAATTGATCTGCTCTCTTTAATGTTGAGGGAACCAGCAATTAAGGAAATAAGGAAAAAATGACACATAGGTAGTGCAAGAAATCAATGGTTGTTGTAATATTCTACTCTAAGATTCATTCTGTCAGGAGAGAAATTTTTTTCAAAGAAAATAAACTGAAGCCCCACTCTAAGGCATTTGGTGCTACAAGGGAGTATTTGCAGGGGTCAGGGAGAGGAATGAGAGAAGGTTTGCAAGAATCCAGTAGGGGCAGATGTATAAGGACAGGACAGCATGTGTGGAGTGGGACCATCTATTTTCCACAGAATGTTGCTTTTAACCCCAGGTACATTGCCACAGGAATAATCTCTGTGTAACATAAAAGCTTTAGGGGGAATCTGTGGCTGCTGAAACTGTTTAAATAAGCCAGCTAGATAGATAGTGGATTGATTGTTTTGCAAGTAAAATCAATTTGTAGCAGTCCACTCTCTGTAGCTTATTTCTCTAAGTTCTGAGATCTGGAGCAATTGCAGTACCTGTGGAATATTTTCTTTTCCACCCACAGGTACAATCTCTAAGGTTAATTATATACCAAGAGTTAAAGAGGCATTGCCAGGAGTAATGAGAGGAAAATGCACATCACCGCAGGCAGATATTCTCAACTCAATTTCTAAATTGAATTTTTTTTTTTTTTACAGGCTGCAAAATACAAGCTGGCAGCTCTGCCTGTGGCAGGTGCACTCATTGGAGGAGTGGTGGGGGGTCCGATTGGCCTCCTTGCAGGCTTCAAAGTGGCAGGAATTGCAGCTGCAGTTGGTGGTGGGGTGTTGGGCTTCACAGGTGGAAAATTGATACAAAGAAGGAAACAGAAAATGATGGAGAAGCTCACTTCCAGCTGTCCAGATCTTCCCAGCCAAAGTGACAAAAAATGCAGTTAAAAATCACACTTCAGCGTTATTGGTGCCAACGCATCTATTCTGATAGTGATGGCCTTTGCTGCTGTTGACGGACATTCAGTCAACTTTTGAAACACAAGTATATAAAGGTAGTGGCTGTAGATGTTCAAATGGGATTGAACTGTGACGAGTAGATATATTTTGTTGTTTACTGGGGTGTTAATGGAGATGTTACAGATTGAGGAGCCAGGGCTGAGGGTGTATAATGTCTGTCAGGTAAAGTTTAAAGAGTGCCAGACAGCCTATTTTCTGCCTTTACGTGTAAAAACTGAACCCATAACTCTGATGAAGACTTGGGACGTGTGGAAATACTGGGTTATAGAAGAATAGTTTCGTTCATAACCCAGTAGTTTTCTTCCATAATGCTGACTTAGAGATTCTAAGGCCAAGCATATTTGTAGGAGATTATTTAGGTCTCTTAGCAAGGAGAAGAACAAGAGTTGAAGAACCTTGCTTATCAGTATCTAGCTAGGATTGGGGGCACAGGTGAATTTGATAATGGGGTCCAGTTGGTGAATCCTGTTGCATTTGGTGAATCCCCCAAACTTCTGGTTAAGGAAATTAATAATGCAAGAAAATGGAAAGAGAAGCCCACCTGCTCTTCAGATAATCTTCATTTGTGACTCTGGCTTCTTTTCTGAACCCTTCCTTCTGCCTCTCTTTAAATAAAAATCACAGACTATGAAGTGGTGGATTTATCAGGCCAGTAGCCAAGCTCTGCGTGTCCACCTGTCTCCACACGCCTCAAAGATCTAGTGCTCTTTGCCTTCCCTCCTTTGTAATTTTGAAAAGTTCTTTGGTTGGGGTGAATTCTACCCTTGTGTAATGAGGACTTGTCTCACAGTCTGCTTTTTTTGTATTGTCTGCCACCATCTCTGTCTATCCTTTCCTATAACCTCTAGGTTAAAATAATAATAATAATAATAATAATCCCAGAATATTCCCAACATTGTTAGATTTGGGGGTAAAAATGAGCAGGGGGAAAGCATGAGATCATTTCCTGGGGCATCTTCCAGTTTCAAGGGGCTGCTGTACCTGCCACACAAGGAGTGTTGACCTCCGTCGTCTTTTCAGCTGTCCTTTGGGGAAGCTAAGAAGTAGCTTTCTGTCTCTACTATTGTGCTTTCCCCAGGCTTTGCTATCTTCCTATGCTGTCCTTCACTTTTCACAGCTGCTCTTTCTTCCCAAGGATGGTATTCTTGTTTGCCTTTCCTCATACTCAAGGTGAGCATGGACTCAGCCCCGTGGAAGTCAGGCCTGATGAAGGATTTGTGGTGCTAATCTCAATAGTTGACATTGACGGCAAGGATGGCCCAGCCCAACCCAATGTCTGTCTCCAACAGTTAAAAGGCTTTAAACCTAGAAAAGAAATTTAAGGTTGCAGACAGCCTCACCCTCCATCCCTAACTTATTTGAAATAGAAAGAACCACCTGTTGCCTTACTCTTTTCCCCTTTCTGAGGACAGAGGAGCGGGCATCTGCATCCCAAAAGGCGTGAGCTGTTTCTGCCCAGGAGTCAAACAGGTTCAACAAAGCGTTGAATGGTTTATCATTTCTCCCTTGCTGAGTTTATTTTTAATAACTTTCATTGATTGCTGCCTTTTATTTCTGTGTCAAATCTAAAGAGACCTTTCTCTTCCTGCTTTTTGAATCTCATCAATGAATTCCAGGGAGAGAAAGCACCATTTCTTGTTATCATTAATTAATTGGAGAATATCAAGTATTGCTATCTACTGACTTGTATCTTTTCCCTCCAAGAAGGAAATCATTTGAATAAATGTCAGATTCTGGTCCAGTATTTGTTTGATTTTGAATACCCATAAAGTTGGAATCATTACTTTTGAACCCCTCCTTTTTTTAAGTTTTCTGATCCTTGCTGTCCCTTTAACACAAGATGCCCAAGCCAGAATGAGCATCAGAATCATCCAAGGAGCTGATTTAAAACAAGATTCCACAACTTCAGTTCCACAGATGATTCTGACATAGCCAGTCCAGCCTAGTTAACATTAGAAGTTTACATCAATACTCAGCTGTATCATTTAATTCTGTAATTTCCAGAATTCCACTCCTCAGCATAGCCCAATCTTGATCACTGCAGATTATCTCCCCCCTCTACTAACCGGTAATTGGCCATGCTTTGAGCCCAGCATCTTGGCAGCACTAAGGGCTCCTTGTAATGCCAGGCTAATTTTATGTCAGGACACAAAGGAGAGAGAGGAGGGCTGCAATGGAATCTCACATCTTGTTTGGGTTCTCATGTTTCCTGAGCCAGTGAAAGTGTGTGGGACACCACTGCAAGTACTTATGTAGACTTTTGATTTTTGCTACTCATCGGGGTTGGAATATTATTCCAGCAGTCTTCACACATAGGCAAGTTATAGTACTTGAAAAAAAGCTATGTAATTTGAAATTATTTAGAAATTATATCTACTTTCTCCATAATAAAACCTAATGGCCAATTTTTGTAGAAATTGCTAAAAGTACTTAATCAACTATAAATTATATAGCCATAAAGTATTAAGTGTTCAGGAGTATAAATTAGCCAGTACAACTCAGAGACAAATCTTAAAATTGAATGTCATGTCCTACAGCATCAGATTAAATTTATCTTCTCTATCGTTCATGTCTTATTTTTACTACAGTACGTTAGAAGGTAAAGAACTTTGATTAACATCTTAAAATTTATAGGGATTCGTTTGGGTAAAGGCAGCACTCCTAAAGACTTTTTTTTTTTTTTTTACATAATCAAGAATTTCTCTGTAGAGAGGAGACTTTGAAACTTTGTAACCCACAGTAAAAAATGTATTTACATCAAAACTCAGCATATGCATAATGGAACAATACTTACCCTTATTATGTGCAGTGCATTGTGTTGTTTTTTATTCTGCTTCAGTTTTTAAAATATGCTAGTTGTAATCCACTAAATTGATTTCATAATCTAACAATGGGTTGCAATCCTTAGTTTGAAAAAAAAAAAAAAGAAAAACCCGATAGAGAAACTGATATTTATTGAATACCTTCTCTTTGCCAAGCACTTCGCTAGGCATTTTATAGGTAAGGAAACAGTCTCAGAGAAGTTAAATAATTTGTAGAGGGTTATTCAACTAAAAAGGGGGTGAAGCCAGGTCTGTTGAACTACAAAAACTTTCTCTTATACCATGCCACCTCTCTACAAAATTAAGGTAGGTCATCCATTCTGTGTCACCCACCCAGATGTTCCGTGAGGCAGGCTTACTTTGAAATTACACGCGTCTTTCATTCGCACTAATTTTTATTATCTTCCGATTCTTCACCAAGTGCCCCAGTATCTGACAGCTTCAACGTTTGTAACGGTAGCCAAACTCAGAAGTACATAGTGCTGAATTTGATCCTTAGCCTATGAAATAAGTGTTTCCATCTCATCACACATCCTACAAATTTTCTTGTATTCATTGGTTATAACCATTGCTTAAACAGTGCTTTTTATACTTAATTTAAGAATAAAACTCTAAAGCAATGCTTTTTAAAACAAATCTATCATAACTCATAGATTCAAATGATTATCTTTTAAAATAGTACCCTTGGGAAGCCATGTACTTGCTGTAGTGATGCTAGTATTACTCAGCATATTTTTGAAACATTTCTTTTGGAATGGCCTCCAAAGACATTTTGCAAACCACGTAAGAAAGCCATCTCCGTTGTGACTAGTCACAGACTACACTCCCTCATCCTTATGACCTCGCCGCCTCCTTCCTCAGTTCGTCCAGCTTTCCCTCTTCAGGCAGAGCTTTCCACCCCTTTGTGCTGGAGCCAGTAACCGGAGGCTGCTGAGATGGAGTTTGTGCTAGGGCTGCCAAAACTGGTCAGACTTCTTGGAGCAAGAACTTTTAGTTGCACTGAAGTAAAGTGCCGTAAAGGGAGAATCCAAAAACGCTCCTCTGGGCCGCCTCTGGCCGCACAGCAGTAAGGACTGAGTACTGGTAATAGCAATCACAGGAAGTTGAGGAAACCTGTAATGTAAATACATGGTATACAACATTTTTCACCATTGAAAGTACAGAAACCAAAATATGCTTTGTGTTAACTTTAAAAATGAAAGTCTTTCTCAGGGTACCCTTTGCCCTTCATTGCTGCCACGTGAAATCTTTGGGACGAAGGCTGCAGGAAAGCCTGGGACAGGTTCTCCTATGAAATGGGACATTTTCTCCTCTTGTATAAGTTGTAACATGGCTGTGGCTCTCAGGTACTTAGGAATTTTACATAAATGTTCTTAAGTAATCAGAGGCCTAATAAAAGGGAGTGCGCTTCCCCTCTAGGAGAAATTTGTAAAAAATTCGGGTTCTGTGTGGATTGTGTGTTTATGAATGTTTCATTTTATTTCTAACAAGTGGTTCTCATTTTTTATATTCATTAATGTCCTTTTACAGAGTATTATAAACGATCTTGGGTATTATAAACAATCAGTGGTAAAGGAACCACATATGATCAACTTTGCTACCTTCCAAGAAATTAGGTTATTGTGGGAGATAAGAAATGTATCTGTGCAATATTAACAAAATAAATAAATTGAAATAAATATGTAAAAGTTGTCGAATGCAATTTGCCCAAGGTAACAAAGCTAGTTAGCACAAGAGCTAGGATTATAACCATGGTCTAAAAAAAAAAAATCCTCCAATTAAGTTAACTGAGTTTTTGTTGTACCATGTCAGTTGCCTTCTGAGGCTTAGGGTCTTTCAGACCAGCCTTAACATTGCTGTAGTGGGAAGAGAATTGGATGGGGAATCAGGAGATCTGAGTTCTAGTTTTGGCTCTGCCTTTTGTAGTTAGGAGCCCTGGTGGCGCAGTGGTTAAGAGCTCAGGCTGCTAACCTAAAGGTCAACAGTTCGAATCCACTCAGCCGCTCCTTGGAAACCCTATGGGGCAGTTCTACTCTGCCCTATAGAGTCACTATGAGTCGCAATCGACGGCAACGGTTTTATGTACTAAGTTTCTTCTCATGGGTGGCTGCCTTCTCCCGTTCTGGCTAGGGACTCCCAACCATAACCTTAGTGATCACCAACTTGACTCCCTGCGTGCTTTATATCTAGCCTCTGACCAAGTCCTGTCGATTCTGCTCTGAAAGTTAGTTGCACCCATTTCTAAATACATTCATGGCCATCACTCTAGTAAAAGACTTCATGACCTCACACCTGTAACTAATCTTCCCCAGCTTCAAGCCATTCCTCACATCACTGCCACAAGAATGAAAACCAGGTCCATTTTTTCATTTTTCTGCTGAAAAATTTTCAGTGGCTCCCATTGAATACCAGATAAAGTTCAATTCCTTTAGGTTGGCATTCATAGCCTTCCACATTCTGGTCCCAGTCTCATCTCTTCAAACTACTCACATAAAATAAGTGCCCTTCAGACTCACTGCTCAGCCATCTCACAATGCTACTAAAAAGCAGATATTCCACAGGAACAATTTTAAGCTATAAACTGGTAAAAAACTATGTTTACATTTTTCTGGGTAAATAATGTCTGTACTACTACTGCATTTTACAAAACTATCTAGTCATCTGAGTTTTGTTTAAGCTCTTGAACAAACCCATTGTTTCCTAAGGAAAAGAAACCTTTTTTCCCCAGAAGTAATTCAATTTCTACAACTTCAAAACAATATCAATCTCGTCACGCGTGCATCTGGTAGCCAAAATATGAGGATTTTTCTTAGCAGCCTAGATACTCCAGCCTTGAATGGACCATTGTCCAGCTCTTGGGAAAAACCTAATATTTGAGAAAGATATTCAACGTTACTCATTTTCTATATATTTCTCAAAGTATTTGAGATTTCATTCTTATATTAAGGTTAATCACTAGAAAGATGTTTACCTGGGTTTCATTAATTAAATCCAATAAAGATGTTTTACATTTTATTATTAAACCCCTGGTGTTTAGCAAGGGTCAGCATAAGAAAAAGCCCAATGGTGAGAATTTCTGCAGATTCTCTAAAGCTTATTCAATTTCTTTGTTATTTATTCTGTTTTCACATGGTGCTTGCATAACTCATTTAACAAACATTTAACTCAATTCCTGTTATGTGTTCAGTGCTGGGGCCATACACAGAAAAACAAGACCTATAGTATCTACCCTTGTAAACCATTTAGTCTAATCAACTCAGATATTTAAAGCAAGTAATTGCAGTAAAACATGATTAGTACCTGAAAAGAGGAATAAACAAGGTAATAGAGGGCACAGAGAATGGAGTGACTGACTCTGCCTGGAAAAGAAGGGGAAGGCTTTGTGGAACACATTGTATTTGAGCAGTACCCTAAAAAAGAGTTTGCCTGATTGGAGATAGGGTTATGGGTGTTCAGAGGAATTGCATGTACAAAGGCTTCAAAACATAAAAGAGCATGATGTGCTTAGAGAAAACCAAGAAATTAAATGGTGAATGGTGAGGCTAGTTAGATGGAAATACAGACTAGGGTGGTTATATCCTTTTAAATTTAATCTGTTTAAAAGATTTGATGTATTGCTTTGTATCACATGAGACTTATAACCCTCAGAGTTTGTTGTTTTGACTTTTTTTGCCAAAGCAATAAAGCCTCACATTTGGTATATTTGCCTTGGTTCTTGGTATATTTGGCAATATTTGTTTTCCTTTTCCACATGTAAGAAATGGTTTCTGCTTTTTTGCCTCTCTGCTTGTGAGATTCCCTGCTTAACACTGAATGTCCGCTGTCTTCCTGTCCTGCTATTTATTCCGTAAATATTTGTTGAAAACCACTGAGAAAACAGTCATGAAATTTACCTTCTAGTGTCCAAGTCCATCAAGGTCCAAGTTTTCCATTTCTACAGGAATTTTTTATTTTATTGTACTTTAGATGAAGGTTTACAGAACAAATTGTTTCTCATTAAACAGTCAGTACACATATTGTTTTAAGACATTGGTTAACAACCCCATGACATGTCAACACTCTCCCTTCACGACCTTGGAGGACTTTTTTTTTTGGTGAAAATATACATAGCCAAAGTTACACCATTACAAAAGTTTCTACATGTACAATTCAATGACATTGATTACATTCTTCCAGTTGTGCTGCTATTCTCACTATCCTATTCCGAATTATTCCATCACCATTATCTTCAACTTACTGTCCCCTAGGCTTCCCATCAAACCCTTAGAGTTACTGTTGTCAGTTTGATTTCACATAGATAATTTTTTTTTTTTTTTGTACCTTAGATGAAGGTTTGCAGAACAAATAGTTTCTCATTAAACAGTACACATACTGCCCTATGACAATGGTTAACAACCTCACAACATGTCAATACTGTCCCTTCTCAACCTTGGGTTCCCTATCACCAGCTTCCTGTCCCCTCCTTCCTTCTAGTCCTTGCCCTGGACTGCTGTGCGTCATTAGTCCCATTTTGTTTCATAAGGCTGTCCAATCCCCAGCTGAACAGTGAACTTTGGGAGTGACTTCCCCACTGAGCTAAAAAGGTATCTGGGGGCTGTACTCTTGGGGTTTTTCCAGTCTGTCAGGCCAGTAAATCTGGTCTTTTTTTTTTTGTGAGTTAGAATTTTCTACATCCTGGACCCTCTATTGTGATCCCGGTCAGAGCAGTCAGTGGTGGTAGCCAGGCACCATCTAGCTGTACTGGTGGAGGCCGTGGTAGCTGTGGTCCATTAGTCCTTTGGACTCATCTTTTCCTTGTATCCTGTTCTCTTCATTCTCCCTTGCTCCCAAAGGGTTGAGACCAGTGGAGTATATTAGGTGGCTGCTCACAGGCTTTTAAAACCCTAGGCGCTACTCACCAAGGTAGAATGTAGAACATTGTCTTTATAAACTGTGTTATGCCAATTGACCTAGATGTTCCCCGAGACCATCCCCACAGCCCTCCGCCCAGCATCAGTCCCTCAGGGAGTTTGGAAGTGCCTATGGAGCTTCTATGACCTTGTACAAGTTGTGCTGGCTTCCCTAGTATTGTGTACTGTCTTACCCTTCACCAAAGTTACCACTTATCTGTTGTCTATTT